TTTCTTTTTATGTCTCGGTGATACACTTGCGGATGACAATACAAAGCTAACTTTTTCGCATGTGGCAATTTATAACCCCAGATAGCGTGCTGATAGTCTGCTATCGACATTTCACTGTTGTTCTTTTGATTATCTTTTTTTCCAATCTCATTAATGTCCATATTCTTATATTTTCTTTTAAATCTCCTGGGAGAAAACCTGGTCCGTATGCATTACAACAGGGCTGAAGTATTTAAGGTTCAGAGCTGACAGCGTCATAGCAGACCTCCGGTACTCTTTCACACACATTCTCATATATAGGTAAATATATTTTAAAAAATATATATACACTTGCAAATAGACTTATAATGCTATCGAGACATGAACTGTTCGTTTCACTGAATTTTGGCTTATGCTGATCTGTTGTGAGAGAAAAATACTGTCCGCTCGCTGAAAAGTGCTGCTGAAGTAGTTCAAGCGATACTACTGATGCTTCTGCTAATTTATGGGACGGTAAAATGTTATATACAGAATCATATTACTGAACTATAAGATGTTTCTGTCTGAATGTTGGCTTTCTGTAGCTGAGGTTTTTTTATTGTTGTCATCGGCGTGCCCGCCTGTGCAAGTATGTATCGACTATCAAGACTCTTGCTTTCTAAATACTCTACCTCGCCCTTGTGATGTGAGCGACTCTGAGCGGTCTATGATTTTTGAAATTTATATTTAATAAAAGCATAAGCAAAAAGGCAAACAAAAAAATCCTCTCTTTTAGTGGGCTGATGGATGATCCATGTAGTTTCCTTCTTGCTCCCTTTTTCCACACATTCTATGTTCTCTTGTCTAATTTTCTTTCTGACAATTTTCCCTCCTGGTAACCCATGTTAAAACTGTTGCTCTCCCTTCCATCCTCCCCTTCCCCTTCTCAAATAAAAGCCACCTATAGGGGCACTGCATTTTGGGGAACGGCACAAGGAAAACCCAGGGGCCAGGGATACGTTCCAATTCATGTAAGTCCATGGAGGTTTCTTTTTTGGGAGATACAGTAATTTCAACATATTGTATAGTTAGAACCAAATGTCTAGGCTTTTATCGTAGTGATTTATTTCTACATTGATCTTACATAAACCAATTATCTAGGAAAATATGATGCCACCATGTTCCATTTCTTTTCTGCACATCAACTTCGTTAGATTCTCCGAACATCAACTTTGTTATTTGGATTGTCAGAATATAAACCTCATCGCCTCTATCTTTAGTTGAGTTAGGAACTCCTATGTTTTTTATGTACAAATCTCCATATTTACCAATAGTGTGCTATTCATTCGGTCGTTGCAGGTTTTACTTCATAGTTAAAACAAACTGTTTGTAGTGAAGCCTTCTCCAGATGACTAAGTTTCTTATTACTATTTAATTGGTTGAACACACAAACATAAGTTAATCTGTTTTCTTTTGTTTTCAGTGCTGAGATTACTTGAGCTTAGGTGCATGCTGGTTTTATTACGAATCTAAATGAGTACTTCCTTTTTCCTTAAAATACTTGCTAATGTGTTTTACTTTCTTATTATATATTCAGGTGCCCTTAGGGTGTATTACCCCTTTTGTGGTAATAAATGAGTATGCGGGTAGGATTCTTCAAAACACACTGTCTCCACCGCCTCAACATCATCAAATGGAAAATCCAAATGTGCAGGTCCTCCAGAACCACTGTCTGCAATAGCTGTATGCTCCAACAACGTTTGCTATTATCCTTCGGAAGCAGGATTGCTCCCTGTTCAGTAATAAACAGTTTATATATAATTGCTCTGTACGATGTATGAACCCATCTACGACATGGCCATGTTGACTTCCTCGCACTGATGCTATTACCATTGGAGCACTGGACACTCATCTTTTGCCCATAAATTTGCCTGCTAATTTCAAATGCCCGCACACATGAATAAATCTCACCATGGTCCTTAACCCTCGCGCGGGAGGGCGCGCGTTTTCCACTAGTTACTCTACCATATATACTATAGGATAGGCCGTAAGTGCATCCTATATATGAAATTTGTAGAATGACTTTATTAATTACTGACTAGTGAGCAAACAGTAGTAGAGAAGCTAATTCTAGTCCTGGTTCACAACCCCTTTAGTCCCGGTTTTGGAAACCGGGACTATGCAATCGGGACTAAAGGTCTTGATTTTAATCGGGACTAGATGTGCTTCTTGGGTGAAAAAAATGTGCGGTTGTGGAGATTCAAATCCAAGACCTTCCGCTTTAGCTCTTGCGCGTTACCATCTCATCTTCCACCACACGTCTGACTTAGATAAGATACGCTATCCTTTTAAATTCACTCTGGAGGCACCTTTAGTCCGGGTTTGAGACACAAATCGGGACTAAAGGTACCTTTAGTTTAGGTTTGTGTCTCAAACCGGGACTAAAGGGTTCATGTCTCAAACTGGGACTAAAGCTTTTCATTGACACACCTCTGACATGCCTCGGTAAACGTTACAACTGGGACTAAAGGGTGTAATTAGTCCCGGTTTGTATTACAAACCGAGACTAAAGATCCAGTCCTCCCTTTAGTCACGGTTGTAATTTTGAAACCAGGACTAAATACTTTTTGGCCATGGATGAAAGGTTGTTTCTCTACTGGTGAAAGTTTATCTGATGCAAACTAATTGACGATTCATGAGAATGATAAGGACGGGTATGTGTATGCTTTTGTTTCCTTCCTGTGTACGATGGGTCTCCATATTGAATTATTGATAGGCCGGCCATGCTTTAGAGGATTTCGATCATATACGTGAATTTGTATCAAGTATCACTAGAGGATAGTTCTTAGTTCATAGACTTTCTTCCAAGACATTCATCAGATCGTGTAAGGGCTCACTCATTTAGGGTCATTCTGGGTAGGAATAATTCTTGATTGACAGTTGTCTATATAAATTATTAGATAAGTGTTTCAGGCTAGAACGATTCCAGGCCACGGTTCCCCAGGAACCAAACAGGCCCTAAGTCGAATATTGACCTTATGTCGGTCCTACTTAAGATAAGGTTCCTTGATTCTCAAGACACATCCAATATCCCTAAAGCATCCGGATCGTGTAAGCCGACCCTTGACCTTATGGCGTGGGTCTTGCTTAAGATGAGGCCCACCTTTGTTGTCATAATAGTACGGTTATATATGGCCATGCAGCCTGAGCCCATTGGCCCGGCATGAGGCCCATTTTTTTGGCCCAAGACAAACACGGCGAAGCGGCCGGCCGCCTGGCGGCTGGCTCAGGCTGGCATGGCCCGGAGCTTCGCCAAGCACGGCCCGTGCCTAGGCCTTACCTTAGGCACGAGCGGCCGGCCTTTTATGCATGGCCCTGTCCACACGCAGGCCCGATGGCGGGCTGACCACCGGGCTTGCTAAGAGCTCCAAATGTCTGACCCGACCTACCCCAAATTTCCCCACCCCCGAATCGCCGAACCCTATCCCTTCCCCCTCGCGCAGCCTCCTTCCACGCCACAATGCCATGCAGCTTTCTTTCTCTCCTCCTCCTCCTCCTCACCTCTGCCTACTGGCATGGCGCCATGGGCGCCTCCTTCCCTCGCGTCGGGCGAGGCGAGCACGGACGTGGGACGCCTCCTCCCTCTCCTCGGCGTCATCGACTTCTCGCGCGACCTCTCCTCTCCTCCGGCCGCCTCCTCCATGCCCCCGCACCACCGGCTGGGCGCTTGGCGACTTCGAGCACGGCGGCGTCGAGCGCACCACCGTCGAGCGTGGTGGTCGGCGTTGAGCGGCTCCTCCGAATCCAGCTTCAAGGGCGTCAGCCTCCTCCACCGCTCCACGCCTCCTGCTCCTGCGGATCCGCGTCGAGCTCCTCGGTGGCGAGCGCGCCGGTCTCCTCCGAATCCGGCGTCGATCTCCTCGGCGACGAGTGGTGTCGACCCCTTACACCTCTTGGGCTCCCCTTCGCCCTTCCCCTCTCTCTCTGTCGACAGCCAGTGAGCCTCGGGCTAGCACGACCTGTGAAATTAGCCGTACTTTTCGGGCGGCCCGGCACGAAAATCGGCCCATAGTGCCGTGCCTGGGCGGAGGCCAGGCCCGTGGCCTTGTGAGGCACGGCCCGGGAGGCACGGCGTGTCGTGCCCGCCCGACCCTTATCGGGCCGGGCCGGCCCGTTGGGCATCTATGTACGGTGCTCAAAGGCATTCTAACCCTCTCTACGATCAAACACATCAGGTCAAAAAAAAACATGACAACCAGCACGGGAACATGAAGAAGTTAAACAAGGTAAGGGCCTGTTTGATCCAACATGCTAAAAATTAGCACTATGTTTAGATGCTTTAGAAGGACCAAACGTGAACTAATTTTAAAACTGATTGCACAAGCGGTGACCAATTGGTAAGATGAAGCTATTAATCCTAACTAGTCCATGTTTAGCTCACATGATGCTACAATAATTATGAACTAATTAGGATTAATAGATTCGTCTCACCAATTAATCACCGCTTATGCAATTAGTTTTAAAAATTAGTTCATGTTTGATCATTCTAATTAGCATCCATACATGGTGCTAATTTTTAGCAGCTAGGATCTAATAAGAAGGCCTAAGAAATAATAGGCTGCACCAACTTTGATAATCTCTCCACCGCCTTTGTCGCTCAGCTTTTTTCCTTTTCCTTGAGAAAAAGACTCCATTTCTGCATAAAAGTAATAGATCAATGTAGCACAACATCACGATAAGTAATTGTTTTATCGTTAAAGACATAGTCAAACCAAAGACTCCAGCTGATACAAGCTGGCAAAAAATCATCTTAGTTTTGTAAGTAGCTCATTGCCTCTACTAAGCTCAAAAGGTTGAGTTAATTTTGTTGATACCCATCCCCAGGAGAGAAGCATCGTGATATACCCACCACATGTAATGAGAAATACATCGCGTAATTTTCATCGCCCTCATTCCCTGTCAACCTCTCGGCCTGACGTGGGCCGATTCGCCTTTACCGACATTAGTGATTACCAGGTTTATCACTCTTCTTTTCCATTGCAATGACTGCCATAGGAAGAGGGGAGAAAGAGATGGAGGTCATCACAGAGGTGAATAAGGGTGCGACGTTGTGGCTTCGTGTAGATGGGTGCTGCCCACTTTATACGAAGTGGAGCCGCCTTGGCCATGGTAAGCTTATGTTGTTGAGACACGGTGCCTGCCGATGGTGGCCTTCCCCGTGGCGGTAGCGGCAACGACTTCCGATGAAATAATTATTTTTAATGCACGGGGTCGGGTCTCAAGCTTATGGTCAGTTCTCAAGATTTTGTTGCGTAAGGCCTTGATCCTCTAACGTGTAAGGTCAACTATTGCTGCATTACCACCTCAACACCATTGATGCTCTAACAGATATGTAAATGTACTGAGTGCAATGAAAAACAATGGCAGGAACAAATAAACTATAGCGATGCAAATTTATTCTGGGATTATCGATATTTTTTCAGTAATAGGCGAAGTGCTCGTTGACAACGAGGTGTTTGCGGTGACTTTGTTAACTTCGAGATCCGTCGGCTTGGTATTTCAGAATGCCCACAAAAATAGGTTTATGTACATGTGTTTAATTGTTTATAGAGGTGAATATATGCGCATATTTACGAGCGTCTGTGTTTCCAATATAATTGAAAAAGATATCCTGCGTACCATACCATAAAAGGGGAGATAGGTTTTAAGTTTTAATAACGAGACAATTAGTTTTAGTTTGCTGGGCCTTTGCATGCTGACGGGAATTTAAAAAAGGTAGCATTCCGGCCCATTCCAGGCCCAGGCAAAAATTATAGGGACCGTTCGCTGAGACACTGACTCCACTCCCTGCCTCTTCTTCTCCCAAACATTCACCCCGCGTGCGCGCTCTCTCTCTCTCTCGCTCTCGCGGCGGCAACTAGGCGATCACCGCCCGCCGCTCGCCGCCCGCCTCCCTACTCTAGGTGCGCAGGTCTTCGTCGGTCCCCTCGCTAGGCCTTCGCCGGCCCCTTCACCGGCGACGAGCACCCAACAGGTATGTGCATCCCGTCTCGGCCCTTCCTGGTGTGCGAAACCGGGCACCCGAACCCTAACGACTTCAGCTATTTGGATATTTGTATTTGGATCTGATCTAATTAAAGTGTATATGTGTACTATCCCCACTATATTCGATTTTTCTGCAATAATTATTAGAGTGTCTCCACCCTGTGGATTATGGTTGAGGAAGACGATAATTGAATATTGTGCGCTGCTACATGATACAGTTATGTTATTGTGGTATTCTGCTTATAGGGGACTAGTCACTGTAGGTAAGAGCTTTTATGATTGTAATGCTCGTGGATAGTGTGATATGTTGAAATGGTCTGGAATGAATCCTTGGTCTTACCGCAGAGGTCAGGTCAAATGTAGCTGTGGTATGTGATTTGCATAATTTGAACCAAGAGCAGTTATTTGAGTGGGAAGAAAAAAAAACAAAAGCAGCTTGGAGTTGAATTTTTTTCCGTACAATGCACTCGTTTAAGCCAATAAGTTTATTGATTTGATAAATGCATATGGTGTGGTTCTGTGACAATGTACAGTGTTTACTGTTAATTTCTCTCAGGCGTAATTTCTACTGTACTTTAACGTATGGATTTGATGGTTATATTGCTTCGATATTTATCTGCTTTAATTCGCTTGGTTAGTCAAGGGTCATTGATGAATTGGTGATCCACCTATGTCAATGCTGATGTGCAGGAAGTATGCTTATTTTTTACAGCATGTTTTCGCTGTTGCTCATATTGCTGCACTTCTGTGCTGCTGAATCTCTCCCTCGCCAAGTTTTATAAATGGCGTTTCCTTGGTTGTGATTTGTGAAGCTTGATTTAATCACACAAGATGCTTTCAGAATCTTATTTCATGCAGTTGTTTTCCAATTTGTCAGGTTCACCTGTAGTTAATTTTGTAAATTATTGTTATCTCTGTAGCTGCCCCAATGGAAGTTGAGCTGCCGAACATCCATAAAGTGAGTAACAATTTCCTCTTCTAAGTTGTACCCTTGTAGGGTGTGCTGATTATTAATTTCACCTTTTCAGCTCTGGTTATCCCTATATTGTACTCTCCATTCCAAATTATAAGTCGTTCTAGCTTTTCTTGATAGATAGCTTTTGCTATGTATCTAGACATAGCGTAAATCTAGATGTGTAGCAAAAGCTATGTACTTAGAAAAGCCAAAACGACTTATATTTTGGAATGGAGGGAGTAGTATTTTAACAAATTAACATATTATGACATGTGTTAATGTGTAGGCTACTTCAAGTGACCATTGGAGTTTAGCCAGCAGCCAATATCCGTCTGGTAAATTTCCTAAGGTCTCAGTGGGTATCACGATTCCAAGGGCAGGTACTGTATCAAGAGGCGGAGATGCTACCCCAACACCTACATTGGACAGGAACTTGTCTCAGGGAACTGATGGTTTATCTAGACCAAAAGGTGATAATACTTCACTTCGGGTTTCACAAGAGGCTGTGAAACATGCTGTATCCACTGAAGGGGCTCCTGAAGCTGACCCTGTTATGAAGGTCTCTGTATCACAACCTGATGACAATGCATGTGAGCAAACAGGAACCTTTTCCTTTGGAACAAGAAGAGAACAAGGCAGCAACAGCCTTGATAAATTGGGGACACCTGAATTTGTAAGTTCCCAAAGAAAACAGAACTTCCAGTCTGCAGATAAAGGCAAGCCCAATAGTGAGATGCTCAGGATGAAGTTGTGGGAGATCCTTGGTGGCACTTCACAAAACAAGCAGGCCGTTGCTTCACCAAACCCTGATGACGTCGAGACACCTGATCAGCCTAGAAGTCAAACTGTCAAAGGACCATCTTCAGGGAACAAGGAGGTATTCACTTCACCTTTTCCTGATAACATCAAGACACCAGATCCACTGAAGCGTCAAACGGTGAACTTCACAAAGTGTAAACTGTCCCTTGATCCAATCGAGTCAGATTCTGATAGTCCAAAAGTTGTTGAAAGAAGACCTGTGACTCGCTCCTTGGGACGCAAGAAAGCACCAGTATCCTCCAAGAAGCAGAGCAGAAGTGCAAAGAAACCATTATCTACTTTTTTCTCTACACCTAAGAAGAAAATGCTGGACAATGTGTTTACCTTTAATGAGAAATGCACACCTCAAACAGTGGATCAGGGTGAAATGAATAAAGCCACTGAATCACCTGGCAGCGGATCTCCTGATTCTGCCAAAAAACGAGAAAACAGGAAACAACCGTATCTTTCACCCCTTTCTCCAACTGAGGATGAAGGGATTAAAAGTTCTGAAACAAGTTTTGCAAGAGGTCAGTACCACATTGCCATTCTGTTATACACTTCATACAGAAAAAAAAACATTAGTTTGACGTACAGCTTTACATTCCCTTTCGTGTTTAGTGTTGCATATCTGAAAAAGGCAAGTTCAACATGCTGTGTACCATGCTCTATTTGGCTATTCCCTTCTTCATGCATGATGGACCATGTACATGTTTTTGGGGCTAAGTCTATGCCTGTTAGTATTTCTGGGTTTATTGATCTATTGGATATATTTAAACTTTTTCAAGTTACTTTACATTTTCAACTATTTGCATGTCCATTCAGAATTTGCAAACATATATTTCATGAACTATGATTTAGGCTGTCTCAGCATGTTGTCATTTCTTTATGACTTACTTGTTTGCCAATTCCAGTAAGCAAAAATCATTTTTAATCATAGAATATATTCAAATTGAAGATATGATTTTATGTGATCAATAATGGAATAACAGGAACATTTTCCTATCCTGCATGGTAGTTTACGTATATTTGTTGGTATTATTTGCTATGTTGAGTAGTTGGCTTTTTATTTGGATTTGACTGCATTACTTTTAAGGACATTGGAAAGAACTTGGCTGGTATTCGCCGTATCCTGCTGGTATGTTTGTCGCATGTTTGGAACAAACTTGACTGGTATTCCACTGCCATGTTTGGAAAGAACTTTTAGTATCAGGCAGCTCAAGTTCTTCCCTAACGATGTTTTTGGCATGCTGCTCATAACTAATATGTGTTCCCTAACGATGTTTTTGGCATGCATGCTACTCATAACTAATATGTGGTTCTTCAAATGCAGGATATAAATCTCACAAACGGCCTTCAGATATCGATGGCCCTGATAAATCTCCTGTTGAGCATATGGGTAGGAAATCAAATCTAAAAGAGGACAGAATGAGCAAAAGACACTTTATCTTCACCTGCTCCTTTTTCCACTTCTGGTAAAACTGCTTACTTTCCTTCATTGAGTATTTGAGTCCATGGTTAGCAGTTCTTAACCTTTTTTTTCCAGAAACACAAGAAACTACAGATTCTGATAAAGAACCAGAACAATGCCCAGAAAACTTCCTAACCAGGTTCTGTCTTATCCTATGTTAATAAAATTATGTATATATCCTAGTTTGTTAGTATGTTTGAGTACGTTCTTGATTTTTGCCAGGGCTTTTGATCAAGCTTCCAAGCAGCCGAGCCGAAGTGCAAAGAAACCATTTTCTACTTTTCACTCTACACCCAAGAAGAAAATGCAGGGCAATGTGTTTACCTTCAACGAGAAACGCACACCTAAAACAGTGGATCAGGACAAAATGGATAAAGCCACTGAGTTGCCTGGTAGCGAGTCTCCTGGTTCTGCAGAAGAAAGAGAAAACAGTAAACAACCATCTCATTCACCCCTTTCTCCAACTGAAGATGAAGGGAGTAAAAGTTCCGAACAAAGTTTTGCAAAAGGTCGGAGTACCACATTCTCATTCTGTCATACACTTAATACAGGAAAGCATTTGGCTAGATCATGTTACATTCCCTTTTGTGTTTAGTGTTCCATATCGGTAGAAGGCAAATGCAACAATACTGTGTACCATGATCTATTCCCCTCTCCACCCATGATGAACCATGTGCATGTTTTGGCGCTAAGTCTGTCTCTTAGTATTTCTGGCTTATTAATCTGTTTGATATATTTCAAGTTAGTCTACATTTCCAACTATTGCATGCTTATGCAGAATTCCAAACATATATTTTCATGAACGTTGAATTAGGCTGTACCGTTATCTTTTCATTTCTTCATGACTTTTCTTGTTTGCCAATTACAGCAAGCTAAAATAATTTTTAATCACAGAATATATTCAAATTGAAGATATAATTTTGTGTGATTAATGGGATAACAAAACATTTTTATATCCTGCATGGTAGATTACATATATTTAGTTGGTATTATTTTCTATGTTGAGTTTGCTTTTTATTTGGATTTTGACTGCATAACTTTCAGAAGGACGCAGCTCAAGCTCTTACCTAAGGATGTTTATGGCATGCTACTCATAACTAATGTGGTTCTTCAAATGCAGGATATAAATCTCACAAATGGCTTTCAGATATCAAAGGCCCTGATAAATCTCCCCTTGAGCATGTGGGCAGGAAATCAAAACTAAAAGAGGATAGAATGAGCAAAAGATACTTATCTTCACCTACTCCTTTTGCCACTTCTGGTAAAACTACTTACCTTCATTGATTGTTGACTCCATTGTTAGCAGTTCATAACTTTTTTTTTTCAGGAACACAAGAAACTATAGTTTCTGACAAAGAACAAGAACAATGCCCAGAAAACTACCTAACCAGGTTCTGTCTTATGCTGTGTTAATTAATTATTTGTCTTAGGCTGTTAGTTTGTTTGATTATGTTCTTCATTTTCATCAGGGCTTTTGATCAATTAGTAGTGGTTCTGGGAAGGTTCCAAACTAAGATCAAGTCTGAAACAAGCAAGAAAAGTTCTGAGATACTTGCAGCTACTAGAGAGATAATATATCAGCACCTTGAGGGGGTTGAGGCGCAGATGCAGGCTGATGTGTAAGATCTTGTCCCAGTGCTACCCTGAAACCAAACCCTCTTATCCTCATATACACATATATACAGGGTCCATATATAAATATACATATCACAAAAACTGTAGGTACAGTTGCTTGATACATGTCATTTTGACTGTTATTTTAGGGATAAACTGGTCAACACAGGCAAGTCTAAAAGGAGACGCCTAGAATCTACATTTGAAGGTACCAATTTCGTCATGTTAATGCTTCCAAGCTGGAACCGAATTTTATTTGAGAATTATCATGACGGGATCCCTTTGGCTGTACTTGATCATAGAGCAGTTAATCTCTGGAGATTTGCATTGTTATCCAATATTCACGATTTCTCATTCTCTATCTATTTGGATTATTCAACTCAAGCAGTGTAAAAGCTCTTTATTTCTTAATAAGAACTGTAGTTCTACATATGTCTTTTGGAATCTACAGCAGCTATGTGAAGTACGTTTTAAATCCTAGCAGTGAGAATTATATCCTGTTATTTACATCTTATCATGTACTAGTAGAACATAACAATAGGGTCATAACTAACCAAGCATAATAAACAATTGGTGCAAATAGAACCCAAAAGCCCAGCTTGAATGGTGACATTGGTAGATTTGGTGATTATAAACTCCTTCATCATTCTCCGGTGCTGAAGCATTTTGCCAATCCCCATGAAAGATTATTTGAGAAATTCGTTAGTACCATCTCCAAATCTGTGCCCCCATTATCCAACATGGATGTTTTTTAAATCTTTGTTCTTTGTTATTTGGATCTTTGTGGACCTTGTTGTGTATCTAGGTACATATCTAAGTATGCAGCCATGTTAAATTTCATAGTTTTCCTGCTTTCTTTTCTTTTCTTTTTGCTTTTTTCTTGCATGTTATTAGTTAACAAATTATATCTCTTGATACACAGATCAACAAGAAAAGCTAAGGATTCTTCATGAGAAGTTCAAGGAGGAGGTCAACAAGCAGCTTCTGAACTGCAGGAGTTCTCTTGAGGATTTTGAATCCTACCATGCAGAACTTAAGGGAGTAGCTGACAAGCAAAGTAAGTCTTAACACTACGCCTAACCTCTGGAGCAATGTAAATGAAGCATCTGATGGATCATTTCTTATTTTCTTACAATTTCCAAAAACTGTGAAACCATGTTAACCTTGTGAACATCAAGCCTTGTGAAGTAAATACCTGTGAAAACTATTGCTCCTAGCTGTTTCTCTATTTGGAAATATTTTAGCTACTTTGAATGAATGATTTTGCGTTCATACAGACATTGCTTTCGCATTTTTAACTATAGCTGTGTTCATTTGTATCACTGACCAATAAATGATCATTTTTTTTACCACTGACCATCGGAGTTACCATTTAATTTATTCTGTCTTTTTATTTTACATCGACAGAATCATCCCACAAGAAGCTCCTGGTAAATGCCGAGAAAACAGTAGGCGCTCAGATCAACGATGCAGAAACCAAAATTGCTGAGGTCCAGAAGGTAGGCCGAAAGCGGTTTTCAAAGCTCACATACGCCTTATTGACCAAATGCTCATCTCTTTCTGACACCCCTGCAGAGAGCACGGAAGAGGATGAATGGCCTGAAATACGTGCTCAAGGAGCTGATTACAGAAACTGCAGATTGACTGATCGAAGTTCCTTCACTCTGTCCAGGTACATATCACTGGTGCAAAGATTAGGATACACAGGATGCACATTGCAAACACGTCTAGGGTTCCATTTGAAAGGGGTACAGTACAGGAGAATCATGATGCACTTAGGTTTTGTTAGAAATTGAGTTTTGCAAAGACTTACTACCAGATGTCCATAGTATCATTTTCTGGGTCGTACCTTCGGTTAGGATTTTCGCTACCTGGTCGATGTGCACAGTGCACTGCTGTGTTGGTTGCACCATTTCACATGAGTGGCTAAATACTATACAGAAAACCGCAACACCCAACGTCTTTCAGCGGTATGTGACCTATAGGATGCTGCAGTGTGCACTGTTTCCCTTCGTTCTTCCCAAACTCTGTTGCGAGCTGGAATACTTGTGTAATGCAGAGTTGTCTTGATGTTAAACGTGATTCGACGCTGCCACGCTGGCTTGATGCTGTGCACTGGAATCAAATGGGGTCGTTTGGTGGTGCATTGATTGACGTGTTTGTTTATGCATGGATTTGCAATGCCGTTGTTCCATCTTTTCTCGCTTTTTCATGCATCTGTGGCCTTGTGAGTTTCTTCGCACCCAACTTGTGATGTATGAATGTATCAAATGGTTCAAACGGTGCAGTGGATTTCATAATGTTGTGAAACGACACCTATATGCGAACGGACGTTTACAAACGAACATGCGTTTCTTCACGAGTGATCTCATTCATCAAGCATATGATTAGTGGATAGAATTAGATAATTAATTTTAGTTCCAAAGGGCATGTCTTTTGGGAACAGTCGTGTCCCTTCGCAAGATACTCTTCTACTTGTATAAATATATTTCCGAAATCAATGAAAGCAACAGTTCTCCTAAATCTTGTTCATTTACATTCACGCTTTAACACGTTATCAGCACTTTGCTCTGCGAACAAGAGGAAGAACAGAGGCACGCATCCCTCTCGACCATCACCGTTCCCTCAGAGTTCGCCGAGAACAAGAAGAAAGAAAACAGTGGCCGTCAGCGCTCGCTGCAACGCTGGCAGTATCGGCATCGGCATCCTGCATGAAGAAAGAAGGCACAAAGGCCTGTGGCAGGAACTGAAGCATCAGGTCTTGTACGAGAAATTGGAACGAGATGCTACATAGCAGTAAGAAATCATTGTTATTTATTAATCTACGATGGTCTTACCTTTCTGAGAAACAGCAAGATTCTTTCTTCCAACTACTCCTTCGCCGGCGAGCCTATTGCGGCTGTGCGACCGAATCAGGACCCGAGCCCCGACAGATGCCTGGCCCGTGGATCCGACTGACGGCAGCGGCCGCGCGTCTGCACAACGGCGGTGACGCGCACACGCGCCAGGGCAGCAGCAATGTCTGCCGCCTGGACGGCTGCGGCTAGGACCGAGACGGCTGGCGGCCCCGCCCCTGCAATCACGGGTAGGGACAGTCTGAGGGTGCTGCAGGTGATTTCATAAGCAATCACGGAGCAGTTCTGTTTGATCACACAGAGGTCACAGTAAAGGGGGTCTTAGACTGTCTCCAACGGGGAAGGCAAAGGGCGACCTATACCCAAAATCCCTCGCGCACAGTATTTTGCGTCCTAAATTTACGCTCCAACGGAGGACGCAAAGACGGCACCCATTTTGCGTAGGAACCGAGTGGGAAGGCAAAAAAAGCGTCGTCGTTCTCGGCGACGCAAAACGCTGCAAAGAGAGAGGGAGGAGCGACCGACGCTGCACAGGGGTGGGGCCGATGGAGGTCGGTGGAGGCGCGACTGCCGTCGTGGAGCCCGGATCCGCCCAGCCGCCATCGGAGGGAGCAGGGGTAGGCGACTTGGTGCCCCTGCAAAAGCGGATCCCGGCGAGGTCGCGGCTAGCGGCTCTGCTCCCTCGGCGAGCTTGTGTGGATCCCCAGCGAGCGGCTCACATCCCCGGCGACGTCGCGGCGAGGCGTGCCCTGCGAGCGGCTCCTCCGGCGTCGGTACGCTGCTGAATCCGGAGGGGGGCGATCGGGGTGGGCGGCGCGCCTGGGAGGAGGCGGGGCTGCAGGAGCCTGCCTTCTCTTCCCGGATCCGCCGGGGAGCCAGCGCCTGCCTTCTCTTCCCGGATCCGCCGGCCTCTAGTGCATCCGCTGGAGGCGACGCGGAGGGCTCATGGGACTCGGTTGGAGGCGTAGCGGAGGGCTCACTGGAGGAAGGGCGTGGTGGCGTGGTGCTGCTTGGCGACAAAGGGAGGACCAGGTAGCCATGGGACCCAGGTGCCAGGCCGGAGCAGCGCCGCCGGCGAGGAGCGCTGAGTCTTGTTTTGGGTTCGTCGTCGGAGAACGAGGGATTTGGGTCCGCGACGTATTTTCCTGTACGTGACTCAGATCCGGAATGGGTCTCATATTTGCGCTCTCATGGTTGGAGACAGTCTTAGTCTAGTCACATGAACACATCACACTTTGATTGAATCACATACAGACCTTTGTTCCTGGGAGAGTCCGTCAGCCATCGGTGAGACAGAAATGCGAGCGGCGGTGTACCGTCGACCTTTAGGACGCTAGCGGATCGTGGCGCGTGGGAGCGGATTATCCCATTTGAACTGGCTGAGAGAGAAACGGCACCGGGGCGTCCAGGCCCATTCCTCTTCTCAGGGCCAGAGTCCACTAAGTCCAACCATTTGTGACCTTCCCTTTGAAGGAAGGAAGATATAGAACACTGCGCCGCGGCCCATGGGCTTTTTATGCACACGAGCGCGTCTTTCTGTTTTTTTAATAAAGCACACGACGACATCTTTCCTTGGGAACACTTGGATGTACAGCCTTGTGTTTTCTTCTATATATATATATATATATATATATATATATATATATATATATATATATATATAATATAATTATTGATAAAAAATTTACTATATAATATAAGCATAAAGCATGTCTCCTTGGGTTCTAGTGCTACGATTCCGTATGTGCATCATGCCCTGCCCCTAATTAGCGTACGGGGTGTTGTCGACTGGTCCAAGTATTTGGAACATTGTAGATTCGGCAGAGAAACTTCGGCGCTGCAAACACGGAAAGGAGGTCGTGGGTGCATGTACTTCATTCCAACATGAAATTCTCCTGGAAAGAATATAATCTCGCGCGAGTTGACGGGCCACGCAGGCATCTAATCCATGCTGTCGGTCTACTCTACTCTACTCTACTGGACTGGACTGGCTTGAGCATGAATGAATTCCTAACGGTCCAGGTGCCATTTTCCACTAATAAAACGGAACAGGACACCCAGCATAACAGTGGTGGCCGAACATCTGGTTCCCTCACCTAAGGGACCATTATATTTGGAACAAGCACACATCATCTTTCTTTCTTTTTTTATCTTTTTGTGAGATTTGTTTGCGGAAAGTGAGCCAGGAGCTCTGCCTAATCAATTGATAAGCCTGTAAGATGTGGCATCAATCAACTAGTTCTCCACCAAAGCGGCCCACCTCTGATGCTCCATCTGCAGATGTTAAGAATTTTTGCAAATCCGAATGGTGTTGATCTCCGTTCACTGTTCTTTGGAGGATAATGGGCCTGTTCGGCAAGACTGAAAAATAAGATAAAATACTGTTCCGGCTGATTGTTGTGGAAGAAAAATACTGTTCTGTCTAGAAAAATTGTTCGCGTGAACAGTGCCATTGTGAGAGCGCTAGCCAGCCCAGCCGCAGCTGGCCAACCAGCCTACATGCATGAACAAAACTGAAATATATCCAACACAGTGCCATGGGGATTTAGTTTAGAGTTTACTGTACTACAGAGCTTTCCAAGAACCCACAAATTTCCCTGGAAATTGCACACACGAAAACAAAAGTTACGAAAAACAGAATCCTAACCTTATTGATAAAACTGGGGCAGGTTGCCCGGCTGGAAGGGGAGACTCCTTTCTACTGGAAGAAGATGCTAGCCAAGACAGTGCTATCATGACAGCCAATTTATCAGCTGACTGTGTTTTTGTCACAGAAAATGGCTCATCAGAAGAGAAAAAAATGATATGATCTATTAGTTTGCTTTTCTTTGGAAGGGAGGTGATCCTGAGACTGAGCAGGGGGGGCCTCTTATGTCTTATCTGGTGGCCAATTACATGCAGGACGAAGTAGAAAGGAGGGGCTTGGCTGACCTCAAACATTTATCCCGAGTATTTATTTTAGCTGTAGTAAAGATATTTTTTATTCGTTTTTCTATTTGTCTTTGTAACATTTTTTTAACTTCTCAGCACACACGAAAAGTTAGAAAACCCGTTTAAAACGTGCGACGGGGCTCGACGTCCTGGTGAAAAAGCCGACAGAGATCTGTTCCATGCATCGACAGAAAATCCTTTGCTGGCTTTCTAACCCCGCACCCCGACCTCAAAGAAAAAAAAAAACCACCATTTTTTTTACGAGAGAAAAAAAGGGAGTTGCTAAATTCACGTGTATGAATTTTGTCTTCTTTTTAGGCGGCGGTATTATATATATTTTATGTTAAAATAGTACCTTTAGTTCGTTCCAATTCTGCAATTTTCAGATCCGGGATAATAAAAACCTGATAGACAAAACTATAACAACAACAACAAAACCTGTCAGTTCCAAGTAAGTTAGGGTAGGCTAGAATTTGAAATCCACCAAAATCTCATAGTCACGGTTCACACATATCAATAGCTGCTCTCCAAGCACTCATATTCAAACATAGATCTCTAGGTATATCCTAAGCTTTCAAATCTCTTTTTATTGCCCCTTGTTAATTTCGGTCTACCTCTACCTCTCTTCACATTACTAGCTTGGTTTAGGACTCCACAATGCACTGATGCCTCTAAAGATCTTCTTTAGATATGACCAAACCACCTCAATTAATGTTGGATAAGCTTTTCTTTTTAATTGATGCTATCCCTAGACGATAACATGTATCATTGTTCCTAACTCCTCCATGGATGACGGTTACCTCTGTCCATCTCCGTCTGCAAGCTGTCCAGCTCTGTCCGTGGCGACGAGCGAGCCAAACGGTCTGCCCTGTTTCTGCTTGCGTGGCCACTGGCCACTCTGTCTCTCTTTGGGAACTTCGATGGATCCACGCTGTCTGGTTCGGTTTGTTTTTTTAGTCGGAACAATATTTTTCTTTTATAACAATTCAGTCAGAACAGTATTTTTCAGTCAGTTTCAGCAAGCCGAACGGAGCCTGCAACTGAACAGTTTCCCCTCAAGTTTGCCCATCTCGTTTCCTGCTCTTTCCGTTGCATGCGTTTTTCGGTTCAGATCTTTGCTCCAACTCTTTGATTGAATCACAGCTCCACTTCCAGCCTCATTTCTTTACATTTCAGACCAACCGTTGTTGAAAAAAAAATACTCTACTGTACAGCAAAACAGATAAAATAAAAGTAGACGCAGTCACACAAAAAAAAAACAAAAAGGAGAAACAGAACAAGAAGCAAGAAAAAAAAAACGAGCTCTCATCTCTCACCGATTACAGAACTACCACTAACAGTACCACCACTCTCCTCGCTCCGACTCAGCTCGCCGTCGTCGTCGGCCGCGCGAGCCGGCCAAGATCTCGCGCCGCACTCCACGCACCTCCCTTCCTCGCCGTCCTCGGAGCCGGAGCCGGAGCCGCCACCGCAGCCCACGCTGACGACGGCCACGCCACGGGCGTCGTCCGGGGCGCCCCGGCCGGACGCCGGCGTGGCGAGGAACGTCGGCCTCTCGTCGCCGGCCATGATGACCACCACGTGCTCCCGCCAATGCTCCCCGGCGGCCGCCTTACCAGCCGCCGCGGCCTTCCCGTCGCCGGGCCGCCGGCCCCCCGCGCCCGCGCCGCCGGCCTGGCGTTCCAGGTCGTCGTCGTCGTCGTCCGGCTCCCCCGCGGCGGCCAGGAGGCTGCCGGACAGCTTCCAGTAGGAGCAGGCCAGCGCCAGGAGCGACAGCGCGATGAGCCCCAGCATGGCCGCCAGCCCCCCGAAGAGGTACGGCACCGGCGACTGGCACGCCGACGCCGAGTGCGTCGTCGTCGTGCTCGACGGCCTCGGCGACGGCGCTGCGGGCCCGTGGCCCATGCCCATCGGGCGCTCCGCGCCTGCAGGCCACATGTGGTTTTGTTTGTTAATCTTTGGGGCAGTGCATGCCACTGCCAGTGACCACCACCAGCCTCAGGAGCAGTGTCTCAGTTGCTGCTGCCTGCCTCGCTTGCGTTTCTCTTGTCTGGAACTGGAACAGAGCAGGGAGGAGGGAGAGGGCGAAATGTTCGTCAGATTGGTGATGACGGAAATAAATGGCAGTATGAGGCAGTGCTTGTACTCTGCTCTGGCCCTATTTATAGACTACAAAGTAACATTAAGGTGCTAGTAATAACAAGCCAACAGAATGTTCGCTTGAACATAAACGATCGTGGATTATAAGTCAGAACATTATTTTTCTCTCACACCAAGCCAGCCAGCAATAATGGACCTGTTCGGCAGGACTAAAAAATATTGTTCCGGCTGATTGTTGTGAGAGGAAAATACTGTTCTGTTTGGACATGAATAGTATTCCTATGAGTGAGCTGGTCAGCCGGGCTCAGCCCAGCCAGCCAGCCGAACGCACTCAATAATCCACGATCGTATACGATTGTATTAGCATCAGCCCAAGTTAATCACAAATCAAGCAAAAAAGGGTTTAGTTTTGTGTTGTCATATCTATAATACTTTGTATTAGTATAATATTAATAATAATTAGAATTTAGCACGATATAATTGTAAAGCAGAAAAAATTAATTCCTTCTTCAAAACTAAAGTATACAGTATGATTTGTCCCCGATCCTACGGCAAAGATATTCCAAGTAAGAGCACCTTGGTTTGCTTCACTGGCTTGCCAACCTGAATACCTGATATTATTTTTTCAATTGCTGCTCGGTGATGGTCAGTTACAAAAAGCAACCACTGTTTAGCTTTGCTACGTACTATAGCATATGTGTGGGCATTTTTACTCGTTTATTTGTGACAAAATCTCACAAGTTAAAGACTCGCTCTTATCCATGAGCAGCTTGCCATAAGTGGATCGAGCATTATATGGCTTTTTGGATACATTTGCGCACAATTTGCCCATTTTGTAAGTCAAAAGAACTCTACAAGTGGATCCAATTGAATGACCCAACAACACAACTTGTTTCTTTAGCTTACCTACGTCTCACAAACACCTGTAATATTTGTTTGAAGATTTGCTCGATTTTTCTTTAGGAGATCGTAAAATTAACACCGAGTAATAAAACCATGCTATTATTCGATTATCAGTCTTTTTATCAATACCTTCTTCTGAACAAGTTGTTTTCATGATAATGTGTATATTCAAGTTCTAGCGCACACCCAAAGTATCTCGCTTTATTCTTTCTGCTATGGTGGAATATACACATGTAGTGCTCATATCCTTTCCTAGAAAGTATATATATCTCTTCTAGCGTAAACAATTTCTCTTCAATTACATGTAATGATAGCTGATATTTTTTTAAATGTGATGCTGATATTTCTTTTGATCTATTTGTGTTCATGAAAATGCATTGAATTTATCGAAATAAATTAAAAAGCTAGGGTCCTTCTCCATATAAAAGATACGATTACTAAGTTCTTTTAGTTGATTAGATGGCTCCGCCCATTTCAGGACAAGCAAAGCACACCTCACCACAATAATTGAGCACTAGGGCGAAATTCACTTTTGAGGTGGTGGAGTTTCATTTCATTCGTAAGCGTCCATACCACAGAAAAGATGAAGAGTAGGGTGGAATTCATATGGTTTTCTTTAGAGTTTTAAGCCTGTTTGATTAGCCTCCAATATGAGAGGATTGGAGGGGGATAAAATCCTCCTCGATCCTCTTCAATCCCCTCATAATCGAACAAGCCCCTGCATCAAGAGTCAAGACATATGGAATTCAAACCCCCTACAAGTTTTATCTCAACATACAAGCCATCTACATCATTTTTTTATAAACTATCCGCATCATCTCGCATTAATGCCATATCAGCTCACTAACTTATAACCTATTAATGCAAGCCATCCATATCACCTCTACTAAGTGCAATTACTATTTTTAATATGTAAGAAACATACAAAGCATGCATATGTTGTTATTTGTTTTATCGTTCCATTATTTTATAATTCGATTTATTTCTTTTAGGTTTTTATTAAATTATTTCATTGACATGTCCAACTTTGATAGGAATTGATGCAAGAACGTGTAGGTCTAACTTATATATGCAAACGATTTAATTTTAAAATACCGAATTAACAAAAGTTCCATAATCTGACCGGTGGAAATATTTTAACAATTATTTCAGAAGAGACAAAATAAGTGCTTTAATAATTGCGTGACTTGCTCTGTTCAACCTCTCCCTACGCCAATCCTTTCCGCTAAAGGCGACGATGGAGCTCTCATTTTTGAGAGAAAGGTGCTGGCCTTTCTTTTCAAGAACGTTTTCGAGCTTTTGGATACCGTGACACTTGGGACACCTATCCTACATATAATGCACAATCAGAGCGACTCATGCAAGTAGAAGTGTGTCTGTCCTGTGCACTGTTGATGATGACAACATGAAAATCACATGCATGCATATACAAAATAAAGGGTTCCCACTCCCATATCTTTTTGAAATTAGCGACATAAATAAGTAGACACATTTCTTGCGACAAGGAAGTAAACAAAACATTATATATGAGGGGAGAAAATTTCCAAATTAATGGGTCTTTTTAACAAAACATTATATATGAGGGGATTTTATTTTTTGTTGTACTAATCCTTAACATGGTACATTCACTCATAGATAAAGTTAGAACAAGAACGATCGTATTGCACGTGTAAATTATTTTTAAAAAAAGAAATGCACGGTTTTTTTGATTTTTTCCTTCCTTGAAAAGAAAAAAATTGCATTGTGAGGAAGGAATTGAAAGGTGAAGAAGAATCTTTCTGCATACCCAATCCAGCCAGCTTTTGCTTTGCCACCTTTCTCCGGGCGGACACGGCTGAATTGGCGACAACCCTTGCATTTGGGTGGGCGTGGGCAATCGCAATCAGTCCCTGTTGCTCATGCCCATGCATGTCCTTCCTTCCTGACCGTGCTAGGAGTTGATGAGACGCAATTAATTGCACGCAGGGTTAGCTCCATCGGTCCCCTTCAATTACCTGGTTGCGTTGAGGAAGTATAATAACAGGTCGCAAACATGCTAAATGCTATGATAAAGGAGAGAGGATGTAAGCTTATAGTCAATTTAGACACAAAAATTAAAAAACTTTGTGAGAGAGACAAATAGACCTTGTATTAATAGTGAAAAGCTAAATACTATATGAGTGGGCTGAGAGATAGGTTGCAAAGATCCTTACCGTCAGCAGCCGGCTGTATTATTAGCCTTGCTCTTAGTACATCGATTATTGGATGTATACGGAGACGACATTGAGTGCATCAGTAAAATAGACACACCACACACGTATCTAAGGATGAAAACGGACGGAATCGAACGGAGAACTCCTCAACCGTTTTCTACTTTTACATTTGAATACGAAAACGAAAGCGGACAAACCGAACACGAAAACGAACACGAACTTACGGAATATCGAGAATTTCGAAAACGAAACAATTCGAGCGGAATTATATCGAATACGGTCGGTATACGAGAATTCAATACGAACCGACCCACAGTGCATAACATTAAACAAGTTCATGGCCAAATACATAACAAGTTCGCGACTAACAAGTGCATGATCTAGTTCAAATTAACAAGTGCGTGACCCGTGGTCTTAAGTAGTACGACACACAATTAACAGAACATGAACATCTAGAGCTCATCAGCATCATCCATGATGTCAGGATCAGAGTTCCCATCGCTCTCCATGTCTTTTGCATCCTCATTGTCCTCCTCAGAGTCCCCATCGCCCTTCTTGTCCCTGTCCTAGAAATTTGCAAAGTGAATATATACAGAGAAGCATTAGGGAGTTCCATAGAATCAGCCGAGTTGCATATGGCAGCTAGCTAGTGCATCCGATCCATCTCTCCTTGCCAGAACATGCATATGCTGATAATTAAGGCTTACTGATAATGCAATGCACTCTCTTTGGGTATTAGTGTGATCAGTGTATGAGAATAAGAAATGTTTTTATTTGTGCTACAATCAACCCGATCCTCCCTCCAGTAGGCCACCAGTACTAGACCAAGTACATGCATGCCACGGCACCATATATAGATGGAGTTGAAAGTGTGTGCAGTGTGCTACTCCACTCAACAAGATAGCTTTAACAGCAGCCAACATCAAATATAGACAGAGGAGAGGATAAACACACCTCAATTTTCAGTTTAGCCACAACATTAGTCAAAGCATCAACTTCAAGATCACTCACAATTGATCCAACCACTTTCGCATCTGAACAAAATATTAGTAAGGGGAAAATATCAATGCATTATTATGCTGCAATTACAAGTGTATAACTGAAAAAAGAGATAAAATGACCACCTTTACTTGCTGCGGCAACCCAGTCCTTTGTGCAAATTAATGCATGTACCATCTCGGGATCAAGACGACTGCGATAGGGATCAACAACACGACCAGCAGCACTAAATGCAGACTCGGATGCTACCGTTGATACTTGTACAACCATTATATCCCGAACAATCTGTGAAAGGATAGGATACTCTTCTCTCTTGTTTTTCCACCAAGCTAAGATGTCAAACTCACCAACAATATTCAGTAGTGGTTCCCCCATATACCTCTCCAACTCATTTGTCTCAACTATAGCATGTTCACTTTCATCATATAGGAATTCTTCTAGGTCATGGTCTACATTTCCCATTAATACATCAGCTGTGTTACTAGGTCCAGGTGCAGCCACACTACTAGTTTTCTTTGCTGGTGCAGGAGCAGAACTAGCATAAAAGTTGTATAGTTTCTTTACCACACAAATAAACTCATCGAGTGCAAGTTGATAGTGATCACCATGGAACTTCTTCATGTAGTACCCTATTAGCCTTTTCTTATACCTTGGATCAAGAAAACAAGCTACAGCTAGAGCAATGTTGGACTGTTCCCAATATTTTTTAAATTTTGCATTCATAGCAACAACCATTTCTCTAATTGTATCATCTTCATTAAAGCACCAATCATCTAGCAAGATCTTTATATCACAGAAACCTCTATAAAATAAGTTTGCAGTAGGATATGAAGTGCCAGAGAGAATTTCAGTGAGATCATAAAATTTCTTGAGACAACCATAAATTGTCAAAGCCTTTTCCCATTCAACAGAAGATGGAGAAATCTTAGCATACCTACGGCGATTTGAAGACTTCAGCCTAATAAATGCATCCTTGTAGTACAAGGCATCTCTCAGCATTAGGTAGGTAGAATTCCACCTTGTTGACACATCAATTTGAATACCCCTCTTTGTATCCAACCCAGCTTCGGTGGCACACTTCATAAGCTCTTCCCACTGCAATGGAGACCCTTTCACAGCTAGCACAAGTGATTTGACCTTGCTAATTATTTATGAAATGACTTTCAACCCATCTCTAGCAACCAAATTGAGAATATGACATGCACATCTGACATGAAAAAACAGCCCATCACACACTAGGGAGCCATTACCATTCTCTTTTAGATCTGAAATTATATCATTGACAGCCACTTCATTTGAACTAGCATTATCCAAAGTCAATGCAAACAATCTTTTCTCAATGTACCATTTAACCATAACTTCACTGAATGTCTCAGATAACTTAGCACCAGTATGTCTACCTTTTACATTGAAGAAACCAATAATTCTCTTTTGGATACGCCAATTATCATCTATCCAATGAATTGTAACACACATGTATCCTTTGTTTTGGCATGAGGTCCACATGTCCATTGTTGCACTAAAGCGACACTTGATAGTTTTTAAGTGTGCATACAAAGTTTCCTTATCTTCAAGATATCTGTCCATTATTTCTTTCCTAACAGTGACACGAGACTTTATCGGAAAGCTAGGCCGAAGAGATTTTATGAAATCAACAAGATACTCATGCTCAACTATATTGAAAGGATATTCATGCATGGTGATTGCCAAGTTCAATTTCCTCAAGCTAACTTCTTGGTCATATTTGAAAGGCACGATATGAGCAATTTCAGAACCAGTGTTCTTACCAACATTAAGCTGTTGTTGTCCCTCCACAATACTGTGCTTTGACCTCAAATGGCTCTTGAATGTAGTCGTCCCACAAGGGCCCTCAGCTCTGTACCTCTTATTGCACCTAGCGAAATTGCAGTACCCCCACAGCCGCTCATACTGCTTTCCATCCACCTCTATAAACTCCTTTTTCTTGGTGAAATACTTCAAGACATGTGATGTGCATTTTTTGTACCTCTTGCCAGAAAGATGAGCCTGCTCTTCATCATCTTGATCATCTTCGCCGATATTAACTGGAGCTGCAGGTGTGTCTGTTGCTGGTGCACCACCAGGTTGGGCTGGGCCAGTGCCAGTGCCAGCGCCAGTGCAACTGGTGTCAATGTCAACAATAGGAGCACTGGAACCGATCACTGAAACTGACGCTGCTACGGATGCTTGTGTGGCTGGACTATCACAAGTTCCAGAGCTAATACTCTGAGATGTAGACCTTTTATTCCTAGATCCTGATGATCAAGCAAAATGACCAAAATAAGTTAGAGTACTGATAAAAATATATCAGATTTTTTCCAATAAAAACTATATCAGATTTTGATAAAAACTATAGTTTTCCCAATAAAAATATCAGATTTTGCAGGACAAAATATTAATTACAAAGGCAAATCAATGCTGCACCAAAATAGAAGACTAGGTTTTATCTAGCCTCATAGCCCGTGCTTATCTAATCTTTGTGTCAGGTTTTGGTTTTGTGTCCAGAAAAAAAAGATGTTCACAATCGCATAGTTGGTGACAATATCTACTGGAGTATGACATATCGCATACAGTTCAGTGAGATTGATTTAGATGTATCGCATGCCTCTAGTTTTAACATGTACTGCTGGTTGTCATGGCTAGTTAACTAGAAAATTTAACATAGTAAAATCTTTGTTGAAAGGGGTTCCTGTGCATCTTATAGAAGTGTGGCTCTGAAATGGATGGCAAATTTGTCTGTGTTTTTTTCTTATCTCCGACACGCACTGATTCCTAAAACTAGCAATTGCTCGGTACCAATGTATCGCTATGGTTTCCAAGTGAACATTATCTGAACATAAAATTCATTACCCGTAGATCGTCGGTTTATTAGTCACTCTTGAGCAATTGATCAAACATCATCCATCGAGTCAAAGCTTTGTTGATGGTTACTAAGATATATCCGATATACAACCGCCTAACCAAATAAAAAGAAAGCATTTCATACACAAGTGTCACCAGCTTTATTACTCAAAGGCAGAATCAATAATACTAAGTTGATGTTCCAATCCTGAATTTGTGGAGGGATTAGTGTATGTCCCTAGCCAGCGACTCATATGTACCGCTCCAAAGATTGACAAACAACACACATATCAAGACTACAAATCTTGAAAAAAAGAAAACATATTGAACGATGCATCAGATATATCATACATGTTCAGAGTTGAGACTGAAACTTTCTACTCAGTATGATATCACACGTCCACAACTAAAACTTCATCAATCTAGAAACATATATGTCTTACACGTGCTAGCTAGTAGTGCATGTCTGCAAAGCTTCTAGCACTGGTTCTGTATGAGAGCATACGGCAATGTAAAATAGCTAGCAGGAGCAGCCAAGCGGAACATCAAGACCCCAGATCGATCGTACTTGGAGCTGGAGGTGGCGCTGGAGAAGTCGTAGCTGCCGGTGCGGTGCGGTGCCGTCTGCCGTCGCGCGCAAGAAGTTGGCGCGCGCGGTCTTGGTCTTGGCCTTGGCCTTGCCCTTCGTGGGGGCGAAACGCCATCTTCGGTGGGCGCCATCGATGGGCACCGCGGTCGGCGGCGGCGTTATCGGCAAAGATGGCGCAGAGAGTCGAGCAGGCGCGGCGGTGCTCCCGGCGTACCTCGAGAACTTGGCCGGCGCGGCGGACCACCTGGAGCGCTCGTCGCGGGCGCGGAGGTTCAAGGCGCGCCTCCTCGCCGACCTTCGCAGCGCGGCGGGGGATGATTTGGACGGCGCCAGCCGCTAGCCAAAGCAAAAGCAACGAGGGGCGGACTGAGGAGCCGTCGGGCAGTCACGCTGGGGACTGGGGATGGGTAGACAGGGTAGTGGACTAGTGGGACTGTGGGAGTTTGGGGATTAGGGTTAGCTTCGTTATTGGGCTGGGCTAGTGCCCTCTGCCCTGCTGGACCAAATTCGGTTCTAAACTGAATTTAAATTCGGTATGTTTCGAATATAATGTAGAAATGTAGAAATCGAACGAACAAATGCCCAAACCGATTTCGTACCGAATTTCGAATTATGTACTCCGTATTTCGTTTTCGAATTTAGTATCCGTTTTTGTCCGCAAAAAACGAATTCGATCGGGTTAAATATAGAAAACGACTGCGGTTCGGTTCGGGATATTTCCGTATCGTTTTCATCCTTGCACGTATCCTCATACATACATCCAGCAGAAATGCAAGTGAGGCAAATACTCTTAAGAGCAAATTAAACCAGCATTCAATGGTCGGCACAAATGCCGTTTATGACACTCAGATCATGTCGGGGCGGATCCCATGTTTGACTTCGCAAACATCATACTCCCCCATACTTTAAAAAAAATGAAGTCGTTTTGATAGTGACACGGTCTCCAAAGCATAACTTTGACTACTTATTTTTATAAATACATTTATCAAAAAGTGATATATGTAAATTTTTGTGAAAGCATTTTTCAAGACAAATCTATATATATGGTTTTTACATTTCCAAACTCAACAACTTAAAAGTTATTCATGATTTATATTCCCGATGTTTGACCTAAGCCTTATCTAAAACGACTTTATTTTTTTAGTATGGAGGGAGTATCTGATTTTCAGGTTAATCTCAGTTTTTTTCAGCGTGACGCGTGCTAGCATCAACCAAGTGGGTGGAAGCAAATCAAAAGGACGACGACGACGTTAACTTGCTAGCCTGGGCTGTCAGTAATCCGTCGTCCTTCCCATGCATGATTTACCAACCATTCGGGATCGAGGTACGATATCCAATCATAGAGAGTTGTTGAGCAGTAGCAGAGCATAGCAGCAGCGGCAGCTCGGATCACCCGATCGATGACCCAGTGTACGTAGTGTCCCACTGGCACTGGCATGCATGACTACATGAGTGTGCCGGGCCACCGGAGCTAACCCGGCAGCAGAGGCCAACCCGCTGCGCTGCCGCTCCGGGATAAGCTCGAAGCCCCAAAAGGCGCAAGCGAAGATGCCCAATCCAAAAGCAAGAAGGCTCGCGGCCGGAGACACGGCGAAAAAGAGCTCTCATATCCGATGCTCCGTTACCACGAGGTGACCTCAATGGTATAAGTCAATCTAATCTCTTCAACACTACTAGCTCTTAGTAATGGCTTATAGTATGATTAGACTCACATGACCCTCTCACATGATCTTAGAATACGTGTATGAGCTTAACTCGTAATTAAGAGCTAGTTTCTCTGTCTCTTCTATTAAAACATGAAAAAAAATGCTAAGGGCTAGCTTACTGCGGGTGCCCTAAGCTTGCTGCTTTACTCGCCGACGAGGCACCCGCGCTGTAGCATTACTGTGACCGGAATGACGCCGGCCCAAGCGATGGGACACTGGCGCACTGAGCGATATGATCCTGCCGGCACTCGCAGTCGCATGCAGCGAGTAATTAGTAATCTAATCCGAGACGCCAGTGTTGACAGGAAATTTGCAGGAAATAGGCTGGTTTATGTTTCTGATTACAGTCTTCAGTGTGCAGTGGAACAAGAACAGAAGCTCGCGATGCATCCATGCATGCACCTGATCGGTGATGAGCTCGTCAATATATATGCAAGACTGCAAGTGCCAATCGACCGGCAGTTACAGTTACAGGTGGAGTATCCGCATGGCTGCATCGACAGGTCTAGTCACTGCGCCCACGGAATACTTTGAAATTCAGTGCACCAGGAAGGAAGGAATTCAGCCGCTGGGCTTTAGGCCTCTAGGTCAACCTGTGGGCTGCCGCAGATTCTTCTCAGCGTGCAGGTTGCTCTGGAACTCTGGATGCTCAGCAACAGTGTACATCTGTGGAAGTGCTGTGCTCAGGTGATATGCACGGCAACACTGGTGCTGACAAGTGCAGGGTCTGAAGAAAGACAAGAGGAATCATCTGAGATGTTCATATACTGCAGATGTGCTTCTTTGTGTACTTCTTGGCAACCTGTGAATAAACTAGTAGCAGTTCCAGGATCTGATGCCGCCGCAAGACATCAATCAACCTCTCGACACTGTTTGTATAAGTTGTTTTTTACCTTTTTAGATACGTGCTCACTCCATTCTAGATTGTGAGATGTTTTAACTTTTCTGGATACATAACATTTGATATGATATATACTATTCTAAAATATATGATAAAAGTAATGTATAGAAAAAAGTCAAAATTTCTGAGAGAGAGAGTGTGTGTGAGAGCAGTTTTTACTATATATTTAGATGTAACGTAAGATATGCACCTTAAAAAGTTAAAACAACTTACGATTTTAGGTGGAGGGAGTATTAAGTTTGCAGAAGTATAATAAACTAGTTACAAGGTTTAAAGTCCAAATAATGTTTTTTCAATAATTTGTAGTGTGTATTCCATATTTTTTCATCAAATGTATGAGTTTTTTCCCCAAATGTAATGCTGAAATAATTTTTGAGAAAATATTGAATCTAGTTAGAGATTAGATGCATAATATTTTAATTGATTCTTGTCTCATAGAGATTATATGCATAATAATATTTTAATAATCACACTATGAAAGAACGAGTTTTTTTTAGGGGGCTCTTCCTTTATAATAACCGTTTAATTTAGACGTTGTGCTATATAGGTCCTCCGTCATACGTAATTTTACATGTAAAATGTAAGGCTCCAACTAAACCAAGATTCCTCCTATACTTCCCCATAATCTCTCCCATAATCTCAAGATTCCAAAACCCAATATTCCTTGCCAACCAGATCACGGCACAACACATCGGCCGCCGAGCAAGCCGTGTCCACGCTGGACACTGCACCAAACTTCGCACCACGCATGTCCCGATCGACGCCTCTCTCAGTTTCCATCGTAACCCCTCAATCACGCAGTACAGAACTCCTCCTCCACCCCTCCCCCTCGCCCACGGGTGGAGATTACCTTCTGGAGGGCGTGCTTCTTGGCCGCCTGGCAGACGATTTCTGCCTCCAGGTCGTCGCCGTATGCGTGTGCGGCCTGTTCCTCGGAATTGCGGCGGCGGCGCTCGAAGCCGTACGTCGAGGACACCCTCGGCCGCGGCTCTCCTCTCTTCAACTCCTCACGCGTTCGAAGCCGTACGTTGAGGATGCCCTCGGCCACGACTCTCCTCTTCGACTACTCACGAAGTTCTTGGTTCATAGATGGAAGACGAAACGCCAGAACAGACGCAAGCAGCCGAGTAGAAACCGACGAAGTCGAATTGGTAGGGCTGGCTGAGCAACTGCGACGATGTGCAATCAGGATCCATCCTAGAGGCAACGCACGGGCGATCGGGCCGGCAGTTGGTGCCGTCGCGTGTGCGATCCGGCCAACAGTGGCACTGCGGCTGCCTACTGGCTGCTAGCTGCGTCGTCGCTCTCGGCAGCCATCTGCATGCAGCATGCACGTTGAAGACTAAACATGCACTCGTGGTCTCTTGAAGGTAATCAGATATGTGGACATGTAGAGTCAATTCATTTAGCTGTTTTGCACTTGCACTAAACCTAATTAGTATTTAATATTTTGTAATTACCTTACCTAAATGGTTAAATCATTATTCTTGGTTTCTTGCCTCTTGGACTTGAATTCGTATCAAGGTTAGATAACAAGCAAATTTTCTCTCTTTATTGGTTACTATAAACTTCATCTTTAATTCTTTATCGCTCAGCATATATGTTGTGTGTTTGGTTTTATTGTGTTTGCGACTCATGAACAATTTTCTTCTAATGTCTTCTAGAGTTAGAAAATATGATTCTTGTCATGAAAGGCACAAGAAGAAACAATAACCTGAACGGTTTACTCAGACTCAGAAAACAATGCTTCAAAAAAATAAAATATAAATATATAATTGAAGATTTATTTTAAAGAGTATAAGAAGAATAATGCTTTTCACTAAAAAGTTAAGAAAATATGGGTAAGATTCACCTGTTACTCCTTTAGCATGAATGCCTACTATAAATCTTAACTCTTTTAAAAAAATGTTTGTCTGTTATAATGTGAAATCCAAATGCACATTAATTATTTGTATTTTCCTAAAATATCTAGGCCTCATTTTGTAGTTTGCACTACGGTCTAAAATTCTTGGATATTGGTTCTTCGCGTCGGCGCACCTAGGCCCCAGCTGATGATGTTATGCTGGATCAACATAATGAAGACGCCCGAGATGATAATGCCGAAAGTCTGGTGGCGGTGGTGCGGAAGATGCAGCAGCATGGGAGGAAGGCACGTGGGATGACCTAAACACTCTCCTTCCCTACTTCTCCAATGCTGGTGCGGCCATCTCTCGCCTTCAGGTACTTTATTGGATCATCCTCTCGTGCAGACCCATGTCCCAACTTGTCACAGCCAGTTTGGCAGCCCAAGGTTTCACAACCAGGATGCACTTTGAGACTGTTCTTTCGATTGCAACAGCAAATTTTGAGGCTTCCTAGAATCCTTGGTTATTCTGTTAGCTATTGGTGGTCTGCAGTTTTGCTATTCGCAAAAGACGAATTATAAAGTTTCAACTCAAAAAAGAAAATCAATTTGTTTATGTAACAACTAGGCCTACCATAATAGCTGCATACAGGAGTGATTGGTGGTCATTGCTATACAAATTAATTTGCTAGGTTATGTGTATGGATCATTAACTTTTGTATACAATATAGGAATAATCTTTCTGAATTTGATGGTTATTCATCTATTAATTAAGGAGGAAAAAAACTATAAATACGTACACGTCACAAGTGCATGTCAACCATATATAATGTTTGGTCTGTAGTGTCATAAGAGTAATTTTCATCACATTTTTAGATGAGTATGTCTTACCATAGACACGTGCGTGCCGCACGTGCATGGATACTAGTAATAATAAAATTTTTACTTGGTATAAATGAAGAATGAACTAATCTCAAGGAATAGAAAAAGAAAATAAAGAGCAAATAAAATTCTGAAAGAAAACGAACCTTGGGCTGCAAAATTTCAGCACTCCAGGACGACTTTCCATTCATCGGGCTTAATTCATCGCAGTGGCTTGGGCCTCCTACAGCTCCAAATGGGCCGTTGTCGCGAAGTGTGACGCGGAAACCGAATTCCGACACATCCAGCCATAAGTGAGGGACGCCTCCGCGTCGTGAAGGCAAAGCACGCGCAAAGCCACCACCGCGTCGTCGTCTTCAAGCAAGCGAAGGGCGCCACCCCCCCCCCTCGAGATCTTCTCTCCCTCCCCGCGCCGCCGCCATGGACGCCGTTGACTCGGTGGTCGACCCGCTCCGGGAGTTCGCCAAGGACAGCATCCGTCTCGTCAAGCGCTGCCACAAGCCCGACCGCAAGGGTAACTGCTAAACCCCAGATCCCCTTGCCCCCGTATGTTGCTGGCTCCGAGATCGGACCGGATCTGACGGACCGCGCTTCGATTCGATTCGCGCAGAGTTCACCAAGGTCGCCGCGCGGACTGCGATCGGCTTCGTCGTCATGGGATTCGTCGGCTTTTTTGTCAAGCTCATCTTCATCCCTATCAACAACATCATCGTCGGTTCCGGCTGATCCGTTTCCCTCGGGTATACTTTCCAGTCACGTCTCTCCCCCTGCCCTGGGCTTCCATTGCATGTGTGCAATTCGGTAGATCTCTTGGATTGAGCCACGTGCTTAGGAGAATTCGTTACTGTTACATCTCGATGTGTAAATTGTTCTGCCGAGATTGGTTTGTGTGGGACTGTGGGAATTTCGATTAGGTGATTGGAGATTAGCTGGGTGGGAATTCAGCTAGGTGTTTAGCTGTTGTCTTTAATGGTACAGTGACTATTAGTCGTGCTTGTGAGATCAAATATCCTCAAGGATTCTCATATCTCTACTATAATGGATGATCAAATTTTTTACTTGTTTGGGACTCTAGTAGCTTGGTTTGGAAGCCAATTGTCATTTTTTACCAGGTGTTCCCTTAAACTGTGATATTATTGAATTCATGCATCTATATGGCATCATTTAACCATGGTAGATACAGTGTTTTTTAAAAAAATTGAGAGAAGACAGTTGTTAATATGTTTGGACAGCATTTCTTTGCATGTAGAATCATGCCTGTGGACATTTCTTATTCACTGTTGCTGTGCGATAATGCAATTGACATCTAGTCACGCAGTGTACATCTGCTTGGTTGGTACTATGCTTAGCTTGTTTATGCCTTTTACATTCACTATAGGCCCTGTTCGTTTCGCTGAAATTTGGCTTATGCTTATGCTTATGCTGATTTGTTGTGAGAGGAAAACACTGTTCGTTTGCTGAAAAGTACTTCTGATGATAGAGATAGACAATGAAAATATATGAAGTGGTTTGTATTTGGGCATCCTGCATAATTTTCAGATATATTTTTGCAAATAGTTCTTGATCTGAATATGGAATGTGAAACTCAAGCCTTTAGCAACTGAGATCTGTAACCTTCCATTATAAGAAGGTTTGGATGCTCCTATAGTCCTATATGTGGTTGGCACAATGGGCTTTGGATATTCAATATGGTACAGTGCTAGTTTTGCATAATGTCTCCTGAATGACCTTGCATTCTGTATTTCCTAAATGTGGGATTTTATGGATTACTGAGATGACCAGGTTTTGTGTTCAATCCACCGATGCTCTATGTTTCTGGAGTTTGATGGTTTCTTCTATTTCCTACTCCCAACAAATGTAATAAAACGATGCTGGGTTATGTACAATGTAATCACGGTCTTGGTTAACTATCTTGCCATGAAAAATGGATGTGTTTGTTCTGTGACCTGATTGACACCATTATCAGCTGAAACTCGCAGCCCCAAATTTCTCAACCATGATGACCTTGCTGTAATGAACATCTCCTGTTCTTTTTGAAACAGCCTGATCATTTCTAACGTAGTTGTGTTGGCTCTGATGCAGGCTAGGGGCCTCGGGAGTGGACAATGGCGTCACTACCTTGGAGGCAGCACCGTTTTCAGCCCTGATATCAGTAAAGCAATCCGTTTAGGACTTATGTTGCTAAGGACAACTCCCATATCTTTTCCTTTCTTTAGGTCGTGTGGTAGACCTGGAACTCTTTTGTACCTGATGCCGAATGGGCCTCCGTGAATTAGCGGGTGACAAAATTGAATGGTTACCATGTCTTCTCGATTGCTTTGTGGTGCGGCATCGTTCATAATTTTGCTTTTTGCGGTTACTTGCAGGTTTCTGACGTTTTTGCTACAGCGGAGCAATCTGAATATGTAATTTTCGTACAAAAGGTGCCAAAGCTATGAGGCTCCGTTTGGTTGGGCTTTTGGCTTTGTCTTTTGGCCCTAAAAGCCAAAAGCCCAACCAAAGAGGCTGTTTTTGGAGGCGGTTTTTTCGGAAGCAGCTGTTTTTTCATAGTACATTTTTGAAAGCTGGTTTGACCTTGCTTTTGGCTTTTGGCTTTTTGCTTTTCAAAATTGGTGGAATAAAAAGCTCTTCCATAGTTGTTTTAAGAGAGATAAAGATAGAAGGTATATTTTATACTTGTTTAATCAAACAGCTTTCAGCTTTTCTACAGCTCACAGCCCACAGCAGCTTTTCCATAGCTCACGGTCTACGACAGCTTTTTTCCACGGCCATAGCTCAACCAAACACACCCTGAGACTGCGTAAAAAACTTTATCTGAGGCTTCCTGATTTTCGATGAATTCACTTCGATCGTCCAATTGCTTAACTTTTTCGATGAATTCACTTCGTTCGTCGATTTGCCTACCTTTCCGTTCCTGCTGAATCCGATCCAATGAGGATTGACGCTCAGGGCACCATCAACATTGTAAGATACTTATTAGCTCTAAGATATTAAAATTATTTTAGCACATGACTCAAATAACAACCTCACATAATTTTAAAGTATGAGTATACAGACTAACTCTTGATCAAGATATATTTTTTTTCTTAGATACTTATTAACTCTAAGGTGCCGTTTGGATAGCATGTGGGTCTGGGATAAGGAAATGTGCTGGGTTATAATGGGCTGGGCTTAGGTTAGGGATATAAGAGCAATCCATTGTTTGGCTGAACTGGGTTTGGGTTCAGGTTATGTGGGCCCCATGTGAGATTAAAAAATGAAGCGCACAGCGGCACACATCGCTCAAATAACAACCTCCCATAATTTTAAAGTATGAGTATAGTGACTAACTCTTGATCAAGACATTTTTTTCTTTCTTCTATTAAAATATGAAACAATCAAAAGTTACCATTCAAGGTACCCTTACAGCAATTCTAGACAGATTTCTTTTCCTAGCTGGGGTCATAAACAACGATGGATTTTGGAATGAATCAATAGAACGCGACTAACAGCACGAAGAGAGCCACAATATAAAAAACAAGCACAAAGTTTTGGTCAACGAACATAGATTTCGGTCCTCAAACAAACCATGACGAGGTAGTCACCAAGCTTAACCGTTAAAAGTCTACCAAGAAAAGAAAACGAAAACAGATTCATCTATGAGTTACACGCCACATGGGAGGCAATCAACAATGACTGAGAGGAGCAGCAGCAGCACGGAGCTAGTGCCTGCTTGATATGCTGAAGGAGGTGACCTTCATGGGCGTGGCCACCACCAGTGGAGCCTCCGGGGAGTCGCTGACCGAATACCTGTCATGCATAAAGCGGCTGGCCACAATTGACTCGTCCTTGGGGATCACCTTGTAGCAATAGCAACTCTTAAGCCCCTCCTGGTACTGGTAGCACTCATGGTGGCTGTTCTTGACCTGCAAGAAGTTCCACACCACGCTGTACTTTCCCACAGTGGCCACGAGATGCCGCTCCTGCTTCCCGTTCTCAGTCACCTGCACAATCATCAGATGATAGATGAGGTCTCAAATGTCAACGAATGCACGTGTCCGCTCATGCTGGTGAGTAATGGGTTTTTATTAACCATTTGATTGTAGTCCCTGCAGTCAGAGACAGAGATAACTGCAGCTGATTCAAGATGTACTAGATACAGCTGTTTTCATTAGCATAAACTTTCTAGTTTATCTTAGAACCATAAATATTAAAGTTCACAGCATATTAATAGTTTCAAAACAGCTCGAACAACATGCAGCACTGAACCGCATCCAAATGGTACAAGGAAGCATAGGTGGTTTCTTAACAATAGGAGCATCACATGCATGCGCAGGTTATCAGCATCAAATCTAGATCGTGGATCCTAGCTCCTAGGTGCTCAGCAGTAAACTCAATCAACAAACAAGGTTTTTTAGAAACACCATCAATGTAAAGGTAGATAAACTTGTCGTAGACACATGGCTCTACTAGTTTGATAATGGTGATCTAAATGATACTAAAATAAAAAGTGAACTGAATGTCTTTAACAGTATTATACAACATCACACTATTTTTCTAGTATACTCAATTTTCATAACAAGTGAAAATTAGTAAGCGTTTGTAAGACTATAAAAGGCAACACCCCTTAGAAGCAACTGACATGCATCGGTCAAGCCATACTAGAGTAATCAATGTTTAACATTAACAAACCAATGGCACACAACTGTAAAACTGCAGAAGACATGTATTAAAAATTAAGGATGTAATGAAATTAAACAGGAAGGGGAAAAGCCCAAACATTATAAGCAAAAGCCATATAACATGATCTGCCACCAATATACAATTGAACCACTTCTACACGATCTATACTACATGATGAAGCAATTGACCATATAAATTGATAATTGGAGATCACTAAATATAGCAGTTTAACCAATGCTGTCAGTTTTGATCACACAGAATGCCAAAATGCTACCAAAGAAGTGCATAATCTTCTGTATGGTGTACAGTGGTAAATCTGAACAAAATTCCATAATAAAAAAAAAGGTGGGAATATATACTCACCCAAGAGAATCTGCCCTCCCTGAACCTGTTATTTGCTCCTGCTAGATGAGAGTCCAGTGGGTTGAGCTTCAGCAGCCTCGGAGCAGCAATTCGGTTGCCCATTCTCCCACTAAAGCCATTCTTCTCCTTTCCATCTTTGTCAATGAAGATGGTGCATATAAGAATCAGGTATGTGTCTGTTGTCCCAAGTATCCACTTCCCATCATATGTCACGTCGACATGGGTAATGGGTGAACCCAACCCAGGAAAGGCTGTCTTTGCCATCCTCATAGAGCTCTTAGAATACAAGCGGATCTTCCCATCTAATGATCCAACAACAATCGAACCGTCACCAGTTGAAGCAAAGCACTGGAAGTTTGTCCCCCTGGAAAACTGATGCCCCTGGGTCCATTGCAATACAGGCGATTCAGTTGCACTTGCCAAGTTCTGCACAATGCCCCTCCGGTCTCTCATATCCCACCGGCACAACCGGTTGTCATCCAGTCCCAAGAAGGTGGACTCGGATGGATCCAGCTGAGCCCCTTTGCTATCATTCGTGATATCCCTCATGTTAATGTCCGCACCATCCTTCTCAAACTTCCATTCAGAAACCACCTTCCCCGTCTCAATATCAAATTGATGTACCCCCTTGGCGTGTGGCTTTCCATCAGTGGCTGGGCTCATCAGGAGCATGTTAGTCTCAGCCCGCATAAGAAGAGCCTTTTTTGGTGTCGAGAAGTTTGTGCTCCCTCCAGAAAACTTCACCGACATGCCCTTGCCGTGTATCCCATGCTCGAAATTCCTCACAACCTCAATCCCTTTGTCTCCAACAAGGAAACTGTTATCCAGTGCGCCAAGCGCAAGACTCTTGATTCCACTCCCTTCCTCAACGGGCTCCTCAAACTCATGCAGATCCTCCAACACAGACTTCAGTACTGGTGTCCGCGGGGGCATCGGGCTGCCCTTGGGACCCGGAGAGAAGCCGTCGGTGGCGTCCTCCCATATCGACTCGTCGCCGTCCTCCGGGCGCGCCCACGCCGCGAAGTCCTTCCCGAACACCTTGGCGCGGCCCTCCTCCGTCGCTGCGACGCCGTAGCTGTTCTCAAACATACAGCTGTGGTACTTCGCGCAGAAGTCGCCGAAGCCGTCGGCATGGAGGAACTTGAGGGCCCATACGCCGTCGGCGACGAAATCCACGCGGCGCTGCGCGGGGAAGGTCTTGAGCTGCAGCTCGGGCCCGACCCTGGCCCGGATCTTCGAGCCCACGACGAGGCACCACGGCCCGCGGGCGGGCGCGTCGTCGTCCTCGTCGTCGCCGGTGCGCACGAAGGAGGTGGCGGCGAGGCGGTCGGAGATGATCCACTTGGCGGAGGGGGAGGAGCCGCCGATGTGGAGGTACAGCTTCACGGCGTTGAGCGCGGTGGGTTTGGCGCCGGGGGTGGGGGTGGGCCCGGGGCTAGGGTTCGGGGAGATGGGCTCGTTGTACTTGAGGTGGAGCTGGCGGAGGTGGCGGTCGATGGCGTCGATGGAAGCGGGGGTGGCCGCCGCCCCTGCGCCGCTGGCCAACTTGGAGGAGGCGGAGGCCGGGGTAGGCGTGCCGTAGTCGGAAGAGTTGTCGGAGGCCCGGGACTCGGCGTCCTCGGACTCGGAGTCGGATAGGTCGAGGTCCTCGCGGCTGTGCGAGCCCCCCATGGCGGCGGCAGCGGCGGCGGCTGATAGGGTTTCGGCGAGGAGGTGACTAGGTGAGATTGGGGGAGCGGAGGAGGAGCGTGCGGGAATTTGAAATTTGGGGACGACGGTGATGGGAGAGATGGGGGGATATGCCTTTGGCCCTTGGCCGTTGTGCGCTTCTGCAAGCCCGCAAGTGGGGGAGAGGAGATCTGGGAAACGAATAGAATACAGGAGACGATGGGCCACACAATTGAAAGACCAAACGGCCGTTGCACTTCACTGATTCAAAAATTTCAAACTGAAGATTCGTAGCAGTAGTACCTTCACTGTCTCTCACTCGCACCAACTGTTCCAATGTTCCATGATCTGAGCTCAGAGTCAATTGGAAAAAAAAAGAGAGGTTGCATTCAATGGGCCTGCCATTTTTTTGGTTGGTCTTTGGTCTTTGGTTTGGGTTTGGTTGGTCTTGATTTTTTTTTGAGGAAAACATCACTGTTGGGTGGTTTGGTTTGAAATTTGTTTGAAACCAACAAGCGAGCAAAAGTGAATCTTAAGAATCGAATTTACAGACAAAACAAGACCAAGCCAGTTTTCCAAACTGGCCAGTTTGTCCAGCCTTCCCGTGTGGCCCTTTACAAACCGGCCCAGGTCGATTTTGTCTATTTGGGTCCAATTCATTCCGAACTCGATCCAAACTCCTTCAATCTCTTAGTAAACATGTAGATCACGATTTAGAACGTTGCCTACTGATTAGAGGATCACGAACAGTTGAGGCTCAATCAGTCAAAAATCAATCTACTATTATTTTCTCCAACTTAGCTCTTCCAAACATTCTGCTCTCCAAATACTCTCGATAGGATTCCTTGGCGTTTCTAGGTGGCCTTGCCAATCCTAGAGCAACATCGTTGTGCTCCTCCCTGACGGGTCTTCTCAGGAGGTGTTCGCGACTCGCGAACTTTTCAAGTGAAGAACAGGCGTCTACATCGCCCGACCAACTTGCTAGTCAGCCTCGCTGTTTGGACCCCACTCCATGCATGCTAAGACGTGTGCGGCCTTAGGTGTGCTAGTCCTTACTTGTGTGTGACCCTAATTAGCGTCAACAGATCCCCAATACTTTTTTAGGTGATTACTCAAACTCAGCTCTCTCTCAGATGAAGGGGATATATCCTTGTCCCCTATTTGACGGTCATTGGTTATGGTAGAATAACATTCCTAATAGTGAATTGGGGCAGCGAGCTTGCCACCACACAGTTGTGGCACGACAAAGCCCCCTATGTGTATATGACAGAAGAGGGAGGAAGAGGAGCACCTATGACATATTGAGCGGTGGCTTTGGTGGATCTAGTATGAGTTCCTCGCCAATGACCTACCCTACAATCCTGTGGGGGGTACGACCCCGGATACCCACGACAGACCACATGGGCTGCGCCCCTAGGGGCGGCCTAGCCCACAAGACGACGCCTTGCGGGGCACAACTCTGCTCGGCGGCTCCCGCAAGACATCTGAAAGATATCCTAAAGATACTACGAGATCTGTTAGGATATGTATGATCCCAAGATTCCTGTAATCAGTTATTACTTTTCGGTTATCTCTTAGATCTAACCGACTTGTAACCCTGCTCCCTGGACTATATAAGGCGGGCAAGGACCCCCCCTCCAAACTCACGCAATATCATACGATAGCTAATACAAACCAACAGACCACAGGAGTAGGGTATTACGTCATACTAACGGCCCGAACCTGTCTAACTCGTGTGTCTTTGTTGCATTCTTGTTCTTGATCTCACGCTCCTCTCTCGATCAATCTACCTTCGTGGGATACCCCTCGGAGGACTACCGACGATATTCTGTCGACAGTTGGCGCGCCAGGTAGGGGTTTGCGTGATGTTTCCTTGTCGAACAAGATGGCTTTTTCCGCAGGCTCTTCGTCCTTCCCGTAGTCCGGCCAGATCTTCATGGTCAGATCGATCTCGTGGATCATCAACGCTGACGGAGTCAGAGAGCTCCTTGAGCCGGTGCAGATCAATTCTGCTCCGATCATCTCCGCACCTGTGACTGCAGATCCGATCTTAGAACCACTTCCGAAGTCTCCTTCATCAACCACTCGCCGCCCGCTTCCTCGCTACCAGAGGAGGCAGATCAACAACGACGATCTGATCGAATCCATCGATCGGGTCGGTCTGAAGCTCATCGATTGCCTCTCCATCGTCGAATCGGCTCTGAACACCTTGGTTCAGCACCGACCACCCTCCGATCCAGATCTGTCAGGGGCTGCTCGACAAACTCCAGGGGGTACGGCCCTACCCTTCGGGCTCACCAACTCCATCGCTAACTACCAATTTGCCCTGAGGGACAAATTCACCGACCAAGTGGGGGACATCCATCCTCTCGCCGACCAGATCGTCGACCAGCTCTCGCCGACGGTCAACATGTTGCACGCCAGCCGACGCCACGGAGCATCCCTCCAGACCATTCTAGAGGAAAATCTGGACTCCGAGTCCCAGGGCTCTACGGAGACCCTCACCGAAACCTTCACCGAGCAACCCTCTCTCCCGCCTTTTCGGGGTGGCGCGATCTTCAATGTCAGCGTCGATAGCCCCCCTCAGAACGGCGAAACCGATGAGGAACGCGCCACTCGTGATAACCGCAACGTCAACCGCGCACAGCGCCGTGCAAATGAGCACGCCATTGTGATGGCCGAGGCTGCTCGCAACAACCAGTTCGACTCGCAGGGGAGGCCGCTCCATCGCAACCTCGACGAAGAGTTCCTCCGCGTTGACGGCCACGACATCTTCAAGATCCCGAGTGCCAATCTAGCAGTAGCCGCCAATGAGCTCGCCCGCCTCCCGCAGACGCCCGAGCTCACCAAGGTCACCGCCATGCTTAAAGCGGCACACTGTCAAGTCAATGAGATCCGCGAGGATCAGAGACCTTCGTGCTCCACAAGCACGGTTCGCCGATCAGCTGTGCCAAGATCCAATCACCACCCCAGTCAAAGCCGTTTCGCCAACTAGTCATTGCCTCTCTAGGGGGAGCCGGGGGCCACCGCGCCGAACACCATCGCCAACACGACCAGGAGGTCGAACAGGACGCTCGAGTGCACCTCAGCAACCTCCGGGATGCACGACGGCGTATCGAGCAACGTTGCTTCGGTCACCTTGAAGATGAAGTATGTCGCCGCCAGGAGTACGAGCAGGAGTACGGCAACCCGAACTCAGCCCTCAAGCCGATTGCCGACGGCAACGCTGCAGACGACGGCGTCGACAACCCTGAGGGGCCCCCAGCTTTCACAAGGGCGCTCCGAACACTTCGGTGGCCCCATGGTTTTAATATCACTAGGGTCGAGCCCTACGAAGGAAGGATGAACCCGACACAGTGGCTGCAGGCTTACACCACTGCTGTCCGCACCGCCGGAGGAGACACCAGTGTCATGGCGAATTATCTCCCCGTCATGCTCACGCCACCCGCCATGAGTTGGTTTACCAGCCTTGCCCCGAACTCCATCGGATCTTGGGAAGAGCTAAAGAAAGTCTTCACCGACAACTATATGGCCACGTGTGCTCGACCGGGCACCAAGCATGATCTCAACCGTATCAACCAGAAGCCGTCCGAGCTCCTCCGCAGCTACATTTGATGCTTTTTTGAGGTGAGGAACTCTATTCCCAACAGCACAAAAGCTGAGGTCATCACCGCCTTCATCCGAGGACTCCACCATCGCGAGCTTCGCTCCAAATTCAACCGCAAGCCGCCCACAGGCATCGGCGAGATGATCACTACTGCCAACCAGTACGTTGACGCCGAGGAAGCCGAGGTGCGCTTCAATGAGGACGCGGGCACTCATCGTCCACCTCGCCGCTACGATGATCACCCCGACGACCGACGCCACAACGACCGTCGTTTCGACGACCGCAGTTATAATCATGACAGTGGTCGTGATCGGCCAGAAGGACCCAAGTCTAGCCAAAATCACCGCCACCGGCCAGACCACATCGTCGTCACCGTCAGTCAACCTTGCGTTAAGGGCAACTACGACGAATAGTACCAAAAGATCCTCGATGGCCCATGCCCTCTTCACAAGAACGCCAAACACAAGATGAAGAACTGTCTCGGTTTGGCTAAGGAGTTCTAGGACAAGAAGCTGGACGACGACGCCAACGATGGAGCTGGAGGTCACCAATCACCTGGGGGCAACAACAATGCCTTTTAGGACCACGATAAGGTGGTCGCCACCATCTTCGGGGGCCTCGCCTCCACTGAGAGCAGAAGAGAACGGAAGCTCGCCGCACGGCGGGTGCTCTCCGTCACTACGGAAGACGCCACCGCCAACCCCAGCTATCGCCCATGGTCCGAGGTCCCCATCACCTTCAGCAGGGCCGACTAGTGGGCAGATATTCCCTACACAGGGCGTTTTCCCCTCGTCCTCGACGCAACCATCCAAAAGGTGCTCTTCAGAAAAGTGCTCGTCGACGATGGGAGCGCTCTAAATCTCCTCTTCGCCGGAGCCCTAAAGGAGCTGGGCCTCAGTTTGTCAGATCTCACACCCTCTAACTCCTCCTTTTGGGGTGTGGTACCTAGCAGGGCCTCCAAACCGCTTGGAGAGATTACCCTACCAGTACAGTTCGGCACGGCAAGCAACTACCGCATCGAACACATCAATTTCTACGTCGCCGACTTCAACACCGCCTACCATGCCATACTTGGTCGGCCAGCTCTGGCCAAGTTCATGGTCGTACCGCACTATGCGTATCTAGTGCTGAAGATGCCATTACCTGTAGGAGTTCTAGCCCTGTGGGCCAACCTCTCCATCGCCTACGCCTGCGAGACAGAGAGTCTTGCCCTCGCTGAAGCCACCGACCTCTCCATCCAGATGGCCAGTGTGGTCACCGAAGCCAAGGCGGTGTCTGTCGACGACATGGAGATCCCAGAGCTGGAGCCTCCTCGCGCATCCGCCAAGTCCAAGGAAGTCAAGGAGGTCAGCCTCGGCCTCGATGACCCCTCCAAGACCGTGAATATTGGGGCTCA